CATACCTTTATTATCACATATTTGCCTGTACTGGAAAATAAACACCTGCCCCTGGCGACAGTTCCAAGAGTTGCTATGGCACATGGGATGCCCAGGCCAGGAATGTGAAATACAGATACAATACTTCCTCCTATGGCTGCTTGGGGTACAAAGAGAGATTGTCCCGTGTGGCTACCTCTTTCCTTCCTGAGCTAGTCCCTTCCTGGGCTTGAATACTCACTCTTCAAACAACTCAGTTTACCTAGAATAGGATAACCTGTTCTTAACCTAGGGGCCCAAGACCCCCAAGAGGTTTTTGCATAGGTTTCAGGGATTCATAAACTTGGAACTTTAAATATTACTATGCTTCAATATAATTGGTTTCTTTGATAATTGTCTGCATCTTATTTTACACATTTAAAGACCTTATTCTGATAATAGGTTTAAAGGCTTCATCAGACTGCCATAGCAGTCCATGACACACACAAGGTTAAGAATCTTTAACCTAAAGGCAAGTTTTATGACCAATCTAATTATCTGCCTGCAACCAGTAACTTACCCATCCTCACCCTTCAAAATCTCAGCTACCTTCACCTCTACATTCTCTAGCCAGCTCAGTTGCTCAGAATGTTTTTCACCTGGTCTTCTGGTCTCTGCTGGGCCCTAATTAAGTGCTATCAACAAGAAGCATAGAGAGGTTGGGCACCTGGCCCAAGTCGCACTGAATCAACAAAGGCATCCCAGAGCCTCTTGTGAACCTAATCTCTCGTCCCCCACCTGAATTAATTTTACATCAATGAGTCTGAGTAGCCGAGCCAAAAGAAGAGCATCACTCCAAAGAATTGTAAAATTTATTGTATAAGTAGTGCAGTGTTTTTGAATGTCACCACTGCTGCTATTGATTACTGTTACACAATAAGCGTTTACAACAGATTTTTGTAAATTGGCATCAGAGTACATATTTATACTAAAACAGCAAAATATAGATTAGGTACTGCATTGAATGTGCTGCCAATAGTTTACAGAAGTTTATCTTGAACAGAACTCAGGATACAGGTCTGCCTACAGCTGAAGCAACATAATTGGAAGTTTCAGAAAATATTAATACAGTGAAATGTGATTATAAGGCAGGCAAATGAGGACTGTACTGTCGTCCTTCTGAGCTCTATAGTACAGCAAAGTCTGAAGCGCGGTTTCTGGAAAACATGGTTTGGTTTGGTTTTTTAAAATTTTTATATCTGAGCTGCACGTATAAAAATCTCCGAAATATAGAATTCACAGGGAGTAGAAATGAATTCAGTTTTTGCCTAGCACACGGTTTATGCTGCACATCTGGATTCTGTCAATTTCAACCCTTTGTGGAAATGGTGGGCATTTAAAAAAAATATCGTTGATTAGTGCAATTTCAATATGTCCATCCAACACATAAAAGGGATTTGCTGAGGAAAACCACTCATTACCCTTCCTTCCACTTAAACACAATGATGGACTTGGAAGGAAGCAGTTCACTAGGTTAGGAAAATGTCTACCTGCCCTTGAACTCCTCAAGGAGCAGCTGGATTTCACCAGTCTCTACACCCAAGGGAATGACCCAGACTGTCCTCCTTCATCAAAGAGTCACATTCACCTTCAACACCACTAGGCTTGGGTGACGCCATCATCCCTATTTGGTCTAAGAGAGAAGACCCCTCCCCATTTTCACCTTACTTAAAGCTAGTGTATCTTTCTCTAGCCAACTGTTGGATGAGGGGGAGAGCCTGCTGAGAACTGTCTGGAAATATCTGCCTCCGAAGAAAGGGGGCCCAAGATCCAAGACAGGGATGTTCCCTGTCCTCTGTTGGGGGTAGGGGATGGGGTGGGAAGGGGGAGTGCTCTATGGAGACATGCTAAAGGAAACAAGAGCTATGACACACTGTGATTTGTGGGCAAAGCACTATCCTGGGGATATTGTGATATTGGCTATTAGCATTTTGATTTCATGTGCCCCACGCATGGCTGCCCTGCTGTTTACCAAGGCCAAGAGTAAGTACCAGCAGCAGTTGGATGGCATCTGTCTTCAGTTCAACTGGAAAAAAAAAAGATAGAACCTTTTCCTCTGTAATTTCACAAGCCCTGCTTCCTGACCAGAGCTTTGTCGGAAGGGCACTGGGTGGGCAGATGGAGAACGGCCTTGAAGCCAGCTTCCTGGGGTGATTCTAAACACAGGTGCTGGTTTTTGGTCAGTGTCCTCCCTGTAGATCAGCTTGCTTTCCTGTTCACATTTCCCCCCACTCTTTGCTCATAGGAGTGGCCCCGTCCAACCAGGCCAAGGCCAAGTGGATGCTTCAACTCAGAATGTGACACCTACTTCTGCCACCAACGTGCAAAGACAATCGTTTTTCTTTCTTTTTATTTCATGGCAAAGAAACTACTTTGACTGCAGAATGAAACCCCATTACTCAAGCATGCCAGCTCAAGAGGGCAGTGAATCTATGTCAGTCTTTTTGGTTGGTGTCATGTAGGCAATGTCCACTGTGGCTCTTCAGCAGCACAGCACCTGACCAACAGCCCGAGAATGTGGATGACAGAAGGGTGCATCTTACAGGGCCAGGCATATCGCACAGGGGCTAGTGGGTGAAGGGGATGGTTTTAAAGAAGCAGTAGCCCTTGTCATTGAGGAGAACAAACGCCAGTTCCCTTTGGTGCTTGTAACAGGAGTTTTACTTCCTTACCCCCCCTTTGCAAGAGAGGGTTACTGTTTCTTTAATAAGGCACTAGATAGACATGTCACATAAAAGGAAAGATACATTTTTAAAACTTCTACAAATGCGTCTGTGTACCTTTCAGAACAAATTGGATTGGTTTCTCTACGTGATTTTTTTTTGAGAGAGAGAAAGAGAGAGAGAGGGAAGCAGGGAGGGAAGCAGAATTTAGGTGATGGGACTAAAGTCCTGGGGATTTGAAGACATCATAGAGGAGCAGATTCAAATATTGTGAAGGTAAAGTATTGCCAGGCAAACGAGCCAAGTGGTGAAACTTCAAGTTTGTCTATTCGTCATCTTCTTAAAATATATATATATGTGTGTATATATAAATATTGTTCAAATGGTCAGAACTTCAAAACTGTTCTCAAGTTTTTCAAGTAATAGAAAAAAGTTGCTTAAAAACAATAGTTATTGCCTTTTATATCTTTCATTTATGTTATTCTACTAGTTAGCAGAAAAATGAAACACACCTCCATGGAAATAGAACTCTTCAGCCTTGGGGTTCACCCAGCTAACACTACCTCCCACTTCTGGGAAGTCCAATCCTCAGCGGTCAAGAAAGTGTGGCAAGCTTGGTTACACCTACCCATCAGACAACAAGGAGCTGGACTCCTCCCTTCCCATTTCCTGGTCTCTCTTCCTCGAACATTCTCTTTCCCTCTGGCTCCCACTCGCTCTCTCTCTGACATACAAGTACACCGCAAGGGTATCACATCTATCTGAAGTAATCAACACAATATAAAAATGTAAACAATAGCATAGTAAGACAAAAATGCGTATGTAACACAGATAAATAAACACATCAAAACGATTGTTGGGGTGGAGGGTCAGGGGAGTGAGGGATGATGCTGCCTAGTGAAAACATCTCAGAAGAGGTAAAGAGTTTTGCTTCTTAAGCATCGAGCATGACTTTTTATTTATTTTTTATTTTTTAAGCCTTAAACACATCACAGGAGCCAACCTAGGTTCTTTTATTTTTCCCATCTGTGGTCTTTTTTTTTTTATTTGTTTGTTGCATAAGCTAGAATCCATTCACAGGGATGCAATTAGCTCCCAAACATTTTGACTGCACTAACCCTTCATGAAAGTTTTGGAATTCACTGAATCACTCTGAAGACATTTTGCACAATGACAAAGACCGTCATTTGAGTCTTCAAAGAAACACTGAAACTCTCAAAGGCAGACTAGCTATATCACAATTGACTCCCATGGACTTTTTGCAAAGTTCTCAATGGGGACCTTCATCAATCTGATTTAAGAAGAAAAAAAAGGGGGGGAGGACTAGATTCCTTCAGTAACAGAAGTTTATTGTTATCATGGAAAAAGGTATAGCTCACAACAGGTAATTTGGACTTCTTAACTTTCTGGGTTTCCTTGGTAATTTAGAAGCATTTGAATTTTGTTTACTCCAATGATCAGAACTGGCCCAGAGGAGAATTTCCGTGCTCAGTACGGAATGTAGAGAATAGTAATTGTCTATCACTAAAGTACGCCTTACTAGGTTGGGACATCCTAGGCCCATGCGTGGGGACCTTGGAAATGACTGTTTTGCCTGGAATGCAGTCTCTTCGACTGTGCTCTTATAGAGGGATGTTGTTTTTCAAAGTTTGGATATTCTACCCCTTCGACTAATTAGATTCCGTTGAACATTTATCCCCTACAGTCTGTGGTAGATGTGACAGAGGCTGCCATAAACACAAGCACTGACATATTTATATTAAAAAATAGTGCAAAATTTCAACATTTATATAAATAACTCTAAACCCCTGCTTTGTAGGTTTTTTTACAATGTAATTAATACACACTTTTTTTGAGTTGGCACTCAAAAAAATTGCCATTTTTCTTCTAGTCAGAAAACAACAAAACTTTTTTTAATAGGCCTCTTCTAATACAAAAATACTCCTGCCGCCGCACATACAGTTTCTCATATTTTATATATATTTATATATATATATTGCAGATCTTTAAACAAATGTTTTTGTGCAAATATGTCTTTAAAGTTAAGTGAAATCATCATAAACAAAAAAAAGCATTCACGCACACAGCTCAACTAGAAACAAAAACAAAGACTACTGTCAATTTTTTTTTCTTTTGACTTCAAGACACAGCTAACAAAGAAACGTTTTTGCAAGCTTTCTTGGCTTGAGCATTCAGACCAGACATAACAAGTAAATATTTATACACAGAGAGGTGGAGACGGGTTGATTTTTGCTCTTACTTCCCCCATCTCCTCCCATTCTCATCCCCACCCCACCCCCACCCCCTGTCCATCTCTTGCTTTTTCTTTTAAGAAGTGCAGAGTGTTTAATTTACTTTTTTTCTGTGTATGTATGTGTGTTTGTGTGTTTCCTTCTCTTGGATTTTAAAAGGGGTGTCCTTTTTGCTTCTCTTTATCTTTGTTCCATGCAATTGTGCTCTCGAGGCTACTGATTTGTGACTGGTGAAGTCTATTGTTCTCCAGTAAGGAGGGCGTCCCATTGTTCTGCTGGTGTTGGTAAAATGTTGACCCAGGATAGTGCCCGATCACTTCATTGTACGTCGGTGGTGGTCCTTCCATCCTCCCGTTGCTCCCGTAACATGTGGCGCTGATACCAGAGTTACTGCTTGGAGGGCAGGGCCCCCCATACATGGAATTGTCTATTAAGTCACTATCAAAGATGGTTCTGTTAGGTGGGGCTCGGACAGACTCACGGTTGAGTTCCATCTGCTGCTCTGGGTCCCGGAGCTGAAGTGTGCATGGGCCCTGGTAGGGGGGTGGCTCTTCTCCATCAGAGAGGGAGATGGTGGGTGGGAGGTCTATCTCATGCTGCAAATAAGGGTAGGTGGGCTGAAAGCGGTTGAATCGGTCCCTCTGAAGGAAGGATGGCACCGTCAGGCGGTCTGCTGAGCGTGGTGGTGCGTAGATCTGCTGCTGAAGGGAAACAAGGCAGTTAGTAGGGCTAGCAGAAGAAGGTTGAGCTCGTTGAGGACTAAGGAAAGGAAAGGGGTATGGGACAGGGGGTTGAGTATGCTGGTTCTGTTCTTACCTCTGTGAGGCCACTGCCTGACACTGTGCTTTCTGAAGGCCACAGACTTCCTTCCTAAACAGAGGGAAACAAAAAGAAAGATAAATCACTAATGGGGGTTGGTGGTTCATTTCTGCTATTCCTCATTAGTCTGGAATAGCAAAGAATCAGAAATTTTGCTGGGTCCCCTCAACTAGCTGTACAACCTTCAAGAAATCACTTTCATTCTCTAGGCCTCAGTTTCCTCATCTAGAAAATGAGAGGGTTGATGTGAATAAGCTTTAAGGTCCCTGACAACCCTAAAAGAAGTTCATTCACAGGTTCTGAGGACTTAGAGAGGGGATTCTGATCAAGGTTCCTTCCAGCTGTGATGGTCTATAATCTGTATTAAAGAGCTTCTCAATTCTTACAATCTCTTTACTGAATGATTCATAAAGTAACCAGGGCTGAATTATATGGGGATCTCCAGGATACCTTACAGAGTAGATCCTTATACCATCCCCCAAAGTCCGAGAACTAGGCAAGTGGTCCCCAGAATACCCTCCCTATTAACCATCAAACATAGTATGGTGAGGCTTTTGGAGGAGGGGGTAGAGTGAGGAGAGCAGCTGCCTGGTTTACAGAGGAGATAGCCCCAGCACACCCTGTGGAGTGTCCAAACCACACAAACCACTCTCACTCATCACAGCCAAGCAAGGTTGAGACATTCCAAACCAGATTTCAGTAGGGCCCCATGGCTGCCAGAGGCAGGCCCACCCAGCCAGGCCTCTCTGGCCTAAGAGGGTGGTGTTCTTTCCTGCTGAGACCTCACATTTCTACCAATTCCCTGGGGGGACCAGCCCCCTTCTATTAATTAATAAGCAGCAAGACCTTAGCCAATTCTCTATTAGCAGTATGTTTTTTTTCTACTCTAGCTTAACTAAAGCAAATTTTAAACCTTCTTCTTCCCCAAATGCCCATCCCTAGTCTTTCTATTAAGTCACTACCTTCTACTGGTCTTTCTACACAGAACACAAACTCATTTTAATGTCGGTGCAACTCCATTGTGCTTCCTTCCCCCAAACCCAATAATGCAAGGCATCCTAAGCCAAACAGAAATGGATTTTGGATCATTTGTTATTGGGAAGGAGGAACGAGGTATGATTTGTGTCACTACTTCCTTCTCCTTCCCTCACCCTATCCTCTATAATACACATAATTTTAAATAGATTTTGTTAATATTTTTTGGTGTTATATCACCTAGACATCTCCCTGTGCCCCTTCCTTTCCCCCTCCCCAGGAGTCAGGTCTTAAAATCAAGAATTCATAATGCATATAATTGAGTCACTCTAACTGGTTGCAAACATTCTCAGCCTGGAAAGCAACATAGGCATGTTGTTGTTGTTTTTTAGTCACATCTGATTCTTGATGACTCTTTGATGATACTGTCCATAGGGTTTTCTTGACAAAGGTACTGGAGTAGTTTGCCATTTCCTTCTCCAACTCATTTTACGGATGAGGAAACTACAGCAAACAGAAGTTAAATGACTTGTCCAGAGTCACATAGCTAATAAGTGTCTGGAAGCCAGATTTGAACTTAGGTCTTCCTGACTCCAGGTCCAGAGCTCTATCCACTGTGCTGCCTAGCTGCCTCTTGATAAGGGTGTAGATGCCAACAAAGAAAGGCTATTGTGTCCCCATGGAGTTCTCAGGGGATGAGCAGTGTGGTGCATTGGAAAAATTACTGCTTTTACTTCAGGAGATCTAGGTACGAATCCTAACTCTGCTACTTACTCCCTGACTGGCCTTTGGGCAGTCACTTAAATGTTCTGAGCCTCAGTTTCCACAATTGTGAAGTGAAAAAGTTGGGACTAGATGATCTCTAAGGGCCTCTCTAGCTCCATGGACTTTTGGAGGAATAGGAAAATTGTCTGGGTGCCAGGGAAATAATCCCTTTAGAGGGCTGGACCTAGAGTCGGGAAGACTCATCTTCCTGAGTTCCAATCTGGCCTCAGACACTTACTAGCTGTGTGACCCTGGGCAAATCACTTAACTCTGTTTGCCTCAGTTTCCCCATCTGTAAAATGAGCTGGAGAAGGAAACTGCAAACTACTCCAGTATCTTTGCCAAGAAAACCCCAAATGGGGTCCTGAAGAGTGAGACACGGCTGAAATGACTGAACAACACCTTACAATTCACATTTGCACAGTGCTTAATAAGCTACAAACTGCTTTCCGTGCACTATTTCTTTTGGTCCACATAAGTTCTATTAGGAAAGTAGAACATATGTTACCAACTCCTCTTTACAAATCACTAAATCAGCAATAAACAATGCTATTTCAAAGAATCATACAATTTTACTTTGGTAAAAATAATTGAAAAACAGAGATGTAAATGTACCCGAGGGAAAAAAATTTCCAAGTGAAATCACTGTTATTTGTTTAAAATTAAAATATGGTACCTCCAGTGAACATGCAAGTTCACTAAATGTGAATAGTTTTGCTTTTCAAATGATAAGACCCTCTTCCAAACTGTAGAAGCTTTTCAGGAACCTTATTACTCTCGTGATATTTCATTAATCTCCATCATGCATGCCAAATCTGACATACTTGACAGTGAGGACAATGTGGCTTGCTCTTTTTAAAATCTACACATAACACATGTTTCACTGTACTCCCAATGTCTACACTTAATAACATTTGACAAAAACAAAATAACAACAAAAACCAGAAGATGAATGACTTGCCCAGAATCAAGGGTTAACACGCTGCTTGAAGGAGAGGATCAGAATATAGAAAAACTGACTTTAGTCCCCCATTGGCCCCAGGGGCTCTTGTGAAGGCCAGAAGACCAGAAAGCAGAGGACTGAGACACCTAGGAAACTGGTCAAAGATAGTCCAGATAGTCAACAGCTGTCATTCCCTGCTGACCCACTAGAGAGGACTTTCAAGTCTCATGAACTAACTTGGGGCAGTCTAGGCTTTGAACTAAATGCAGGCTCTGCTGCAGAAAGCTGGGCTACTCACTGCTCCTTTTCTAAGGGATGCACAGAGTTTATCTATGACATGGGTCAGCAATGAGTAGCCTTTTGGCTGGGCCTACGTGCTGTGTGCTACAGCCCCTGGCAACAGGTCTCACAGACATTGAGGTGGAAGGAAAGCAGGAAATCAGTAGTTCCTGACCTCAGCTTGATCCCAGCTAAAGGAGGGGAGAAAAGGGGGTGTTCTTCCCTCCCACAGCATCCTGTGTGATTTCTGTGTAGACGATCCTGAGAGATTGCTAGGAATTCAGCTTTCTGAGGACACTCTAGAATATGGAGAAGAGTCCATTCATTCCTCACCTTCCAATGGTCACCACTGGGAATGCATAGGTAGTGGTAAGAGCACTGGAATTTGGAATCAGAAGCTCTGGGTTCAAATTCTAACTCTGCTACACTGTCTCTGTGTGACTTAAGACCAGACACTTAACTTTCTGGGTTTTGGTCTTTCCTGAATAATTAGAGAGTTGATCTCTAAGACCCTTTCCAGCTCTAGATTTCATAATCCCAAGCTAACTTGAGGGAGGGATTCCTCTTGTTGGGATTTAGTCATTTTTCAGTCATATCTGACCCTTCATGACCCTATTTGGGGTTTTCTTGGCAAAATACTGGAGAAGTTTGCCATTTCCTTCTCCAGCTCCTTTTACAGATGAGGAACTGAGGCAAACAGGGTTAAGTGACTTGCCCAAAGTCACACAGCTAGGAAATGTCTGAAGCTGGATTTGAACTCATGAAGGTGAGTCTTCCTGATTCCAAGCTCAGTGCTCTATCCACTGTTCCACCTAGCAGCCTTTGGGGTTCATCTTAACACTGGGCAAAATCCTGATCATGGTATATTGTAAAGTATTGAACTGAGAGTCAGGCGATACCTTCCAGGGATTTGTTGACCTAAGTTACACATACATCACTTAACTTTGCCAGTCCTTAGCTTCCTCATCTCTAAGATGGAACTGATTATATCTCCTCTGCTTCTACAGGGTTGTGATGATCAAAAAGTGATGATGGTTGGTATGTAATAGGAAAAAAGCACTACACTATGTCATAGAAATAAAAGCCAGATGGTCTGGGTTTGAATCCTGTGTGTGACCTCAGGAAAGTCACTAGACCTCAGTATGTGTGTGTGGGAGGGGGGGTGGGGGTTTGAACTAGATGGTCTCTGCAACTTTCCATCTCATGTAGCCTGGCATTCAATAAGGGGCTCCAAGTAGTCAAGAACTTTTCTCACATTTTTAAGAGAGGAGGAGGGAAGTTGGGATGATCTGAGCTCCTTCAGACCCTGCTGTAGTGGTACAGTCCAGAAGGATGTCAGCTCCTTGAGGACAGGGACAATTTCATTTTTGTCTTTATGTCCATCTCTAGTGCCTAGCGCAGTCCCTAGCATAGAGTAAACAAAGTACTTAATATAAATGTTTGTTGAATTGAATTTAACTGGTTCTTCCATGGTGGATATTATCCTGTTCTGTCCTGACTTTCCTGTCTGCCTGGGGAGGGATGTGGGGAGAACACTCCACTCTTCACAGTCTCAGACTTCCTATCTGGAAAGTGGGAAAAATGTGAGCATAGAAGGCTAAATGATTTCAGAGATAGGCAACGATGGTGACAGCTGCCTTGGTTTAAGACTGTGCTCCCTGGTTCTGGCTTCTGACTAAAAGCCTGCTATGTCAGAGGCTAGATGTTAACCTGTAGGCCCCAGATTCCCAATATCCACTGATAGGAGGGAGCAAGTTACGCTTGGAGTCAGAAGGCAGCTTTTGCCCGACCACATAGGTCTCATCAAAAACACAGAGTATTCCGAGGGAACCACTGATGAGGTGGCTATCATTATTCAAGATGCATAAACATTTGGAAAAATAATTAAAGGTTGCATAAGGAGAGGGAATTGAAAATAGGAATGATTTGGCTAAATTGTTTCATGAAAGCAAAACTCAGAGCCCCAGCAATAGCACCAAAACTAACAGGGGACTTCCTGGCAGAATATCCCCAAGCTGTGCCAACCTGACTGGCCCTCTCCCTGTCCCACATGGGCCTTGTGAATTCCCAACCTGGACCTTTGCTCAAGCCCATGAAAATAGATGCCCCTCTCTCCTCCTCAGCTCCTCTGAGTCTTCTTTGAAAAACTCAACTCAAGGGGCAGCTAGGTGGCACAGTGGATAGAGCACTGGCCCTGAAGTCAGGAGGATCTGAGTTCAAATCCGGCCTCAGACCAGACATTTGACACTTACTGGCTACGTGACCCTGGGCAAGTCACTTAACCTCAATTGCCTAAAAAAAAAACCAAAAAACAAATGAAAACTCAACTCAAGTCTCATCTCCTTTATGAAGCCTTCCCCCTACTCCTGAGCCTACACCAATCACCCACCTACAGTGTTCATTTTCCATTTAATCTACTGTTTCTTTGTGTCATTCATTGACTGTTTCTTGCTGGACATGGAGTCAAAAAGGATGGGTCTGAATGCTGGTTCTATCACTCACTAGCTGTGTGACCTTGAACAAATCATTTAAACCTCTCTGGGCCTTAATCTCCCCCTCTATAAAATGGGGCATTAGACTAAATGGTCTCTAAGGTCCAATTTAACTTTAAAATCCTGTGATCCTTTGTAGGTTGTATTTTGTCTCCTCACTTGAAGACCCAGTCTCTGGCTTAAAATCAAGCAACAAGTCTTTATTTAGCATTTGTCATGTTAAGGCAGTGTAGGCGTAGTGGTTAGAGGTCTGGGCTCTAAGTCAAGAAGAACAAGGTTTAAATCTCACCTAAAATATTTACTAGCTATGTGATTATGACTTAACTTCACCATGCCTCAGTTTCCTTATCTGTAAAATGAAGGAATTGGTGTCAATGGCTTCTAAGGTCTCTTCTAGCTCTAAATCTATGATTCTACATACCCAATCCTGTGGTCAAAGTTGTGGGGGATAACTGAATAAGTATAAAGAGCCTTCAAGGAGTTCACAGTCTAATTGACATAATAAGATATACACACAGGAAACAATAATGAACCATATAAAACAATGTATAATTAGGAGTTCAATTATGTAGCTGAGATTATAAATAGGTTAGGAGGTGAGCCATTTGAATCAGTCAATACATTTCTATGAACTGTCTAGTATATGCCAGGCATAGTGCTAAGCTCTAGCGATACAAAAAGGACAAGGACAGTCCCTGCCCTCAGGGAGCACACAATCTAAGTGGGGAGCCAACAAGCAAAGAAATACATACAAATAAACTATATATAGGAAAAATTGGAAATAACAGAGGGAAGACAGTAGAAGATGATTCTGGCAGTGTGTACAAGACTGCTTAGAGAAGGAAGCATGGAGAAGAGGCAGAAAACTCTTGCAGAAGACAAGGGCAGTTAGAGTAGGAATCGAAGAGGAGGAGAAAGAGGAGGACGTGACAAGTACTTTGGAGGGGAATGGACAGCACCTGGTGACTTGATGAGATGAAGATGAAAAATACCTTCAGGGTTTGGGGTCTGGGCTGGGGTAATAGCAGTCCAGTACTCCAAGGAATGAGGTGAGGTAATGAGGATCAAGGCTAGCTCAGGAGGTAACCAGGAACAAAGACAAGGAAGCAGACATGAGAGACAACTTGAAGAGGAACTGACAGGAGGACCTGGTAACTGACTGGATATGAAGGATAAAAGATAATTCCAGGGTTATGAAGCTGGCTTGAAGCTGGCAATGTAAGGGAGAGGCAATATGATACAACTGGCTCCAGACTCAGCGAATCTTGGTTCTACTGTCACTGGACACTCACCACCTGTATTCCCCAGGGTAAGACCTTTTAACCTCGGTGGGCTTCAGTTTTCTCATCTACCAAATGAGGGGGCTAGATTCGAAGGCCTCCTAGGTGGCCATGAACTACAAAGAAGATGTTGAATTCAGTTTGGTGGATCCTGCAGTTTGAGAATAAGGCAGGACATCCAAGCAGAGATATCCACTAGGCAGGAGGAGGTATAGGACTGTGGTCTGGGAGGGATGGCAGAACTAGAAATAGGGATTTGGTCACTGGAATTCATTAAGAGACAGGACAGTAACTGGGTAGCTCCTCCATGGCCAGACAAGGCAGCTCTGTTTATGGAATGTGCTTCTGTACCACTCTGGGAGGTCACTGGGGTGTGTGAGGGCCTTAGTCTGCTCATCCGGCGTACTTTCTGGTGGCTACCCACTCTTGGGAAGACACACCTTCTATCCTCCCCCCTTCTCTGCCCTCCTGCCAGAGACGTCTGATTTAATGAGGCTTTGTGTTTACACAATGATGGCCTTCCCCAAGGGCCAGGGGCTGGCTTAGCTTTGGCAGGAACCTTGGTCAAGGGACTCCTAAACTGACTTATTATAATAATAATGATAATGAAGGAGGGAAAGTAGAAACCACAGGAGAAGGATGCCCCTCATGGCCTAGTCATGGGATCATAAAGGGAGCTGGAAGGGGAACCTCAGAAATCATAGCACAACCCAGGCATTCTGCAGATGAGGAAACTGAGACCAAGAGAGAAGAAGGCATTTACTCAAGGTCATACTTAGCTAGAAAATAACCCAGTCAGAATTAGACCCAGTTCCTCTGACTCCTGATCTACTGTTCCTTGATTCTTTTTTTAACGTATTTTTTTATGATAAACTGAAAAATCATCAATATAACATTTAGATTCACAGAGTATAACAAGTAGGAGGCCTGCAAGTGAAGTAGTGAACTATTTAAACAGTTCGCTTTTTAAAGTGCATATTAAATTTAACAAGGTAGTTAACAAAACTGTCCTGGTTGTGTCTCTTTCTGAACTTTCTGTTTCCTTCTGTGTGTATTTTTAAAAATGTTTTATCAACGCTTTTCTCTTCCATGTTTTGTATCTCTACCACTGCCTCCTAGTGCTCTTCTCACCCCACCAACCTACTTCCAGCTTGCTCCCTTATCTTTCCACTTCTGAACTCTGCCAAATCATGGGGAGGAGATACTTTGGATTTCTCTCCTGGTGGCAGGCAGGAGCCAGACTGAGTTTCTGCAAGTCTTCTTTCCCCATGTGGTAACCCATGGCCAGATCCTTTGCTCTCTGTGTGTCTCATTTTTTCCATCCATTAAATGGGAGGGATACTATGAAAATGACTATTGGTTTCTCTAGGGGAGAGTGGGTCTTCCCTTTCCCTCCCCCACCCCCGCCAGAATGAGATAAGGCATAACATTAAAGAAAATGAGCTTCATTTTGGTCAGGGGACTCAGGTTACATAACAAAGTATGCCAGTCACACCTTCTCCTGGAAGAATCACCACTTTGTGGGAAGTAAAAGCAAAGAAATAACTACCCAAAACTCAGGGACCTCACAGCAAAACGTGGCTTTTTCTTTAGTAGCACGAAAGCTGATTGTGAATTCCAGCAGAATGACGGAGCCAGTGATTTCAAAGTGTCTTTTGCTTTTCTGACTAGATGCTGACTACTGCCATTTTCAACGAGGGCACCTTCCTCCCTGCCCGCCTATGTCTGGCCCCTCAGTGCTGATGTAGTAGCCTCCAGCGTCTGGGAGGCTGGAGGTGCCCCAACCTGCCAGGAGAAAGCCTGTTTGCTCAGTACCCTTTGCCAAATGAACCTTATACCCATTGCCACCAAGTCTTCTGCCTGGGGCCCCAGGTTGTGTAGATCTCTCTGGGAAGGGGCCTTCCTTGAAGGATTCAATTCAGACACTTGTGAGGTCACTCAACCTAAGGGTCCTTTACAGAAAGGTAACATGAAGCCTGCTCTTTCCTCTGCAACTCTTGCCTGCTCTGTGTGTGTGTGTGTGTGTGTGTGTGTGTGTGTGTGTGTGTGTGTTTGGGAGAGGGCAGGGGGCTAAAGTTCTGCCTTATTGTACGCTAAGCAACATGAATCAAGGGCTGTGTCCCATCTAATTTTGTACCTCCCCTTGTCCCCAGTCACTGCTTTTCAACCAGCAAGTGCTCAACTTATTGAATAATCATAACTCATAATTATATGATGCCTTAAGGTTTACAAAATGCTTTCCTCACACAGTCTTGAGAAGAGAGTAATATAAGCATTATTATCTTCATTTTACAGATAAAGAAACTGAGGTTGAGAGAAATTAAGCACTTTGCCTAAGGTCACAAAGGGAGTAAATGTCAGAGCTGAGATTCTCTCCTCATTCCAAGACCCACGTTCCTTCTACTATGTCATTCGGCCAGTTCTTGACTGACTGACTAAATGGTCTGGTGTCAATTTTGGTAATTCCAGCTGGGCTCCTGTATGATTAGCTGCTGAACACCCAGCAGCGTATGCTTCAGTAAGGTGCTCCGCTCAGACAAGGACATGGCTCCTGCCCCGAGGACCTACATCCCTTCTCACTTCTCCTCCATAATTTCAATTAGGCACATTATACGGCGGTTCCTGCCTTAAATTATTAAATTATAGATCGCAGAGACTTAGGAGGGAAAAGGTCTAGGAATAGTCTGGTCACACCCTCTTTTCTTTCCAGACTCCCTGCTCCCCACCAAGTGCCAACAGGTAGGTGGGGCAAAGGATAAAGGGCATGGGATAATTGTGTTTGCTTTTCAAATGAGCTAAGGGCATCCCATCCTGCCCTGGAGGGAGTGCTTTCTGAAGAAGCTAAAGGCATCCCATCCAACCTGGTAGAGGGTAGATTTCTAGCACTAGATGTAAACTGATCCATCCTGCCTTGCTTGAGTCCATATTAGTCTGGCAGACATTTTAAGAAAGTGCAGAGGAGGCATAAAAATATTCTGTAAAAATCCCTTACATCTGGACATCCTTTCATTCCTTTCAATGTTTTCTTTTCTGTTATCTCATTGGGTCCACCTTGTGGAATGGGTAGATTGTCCCATTTTACATGAGGCCCAGAGAGAGAAAGTGACTTGTCCCCATAGTCCCAACAGCTGAGGGTTGGGGCAGAGATGGACAAAGAGAATTGCTTACCGAAGAGAGGTTCTCTTCTCTTCTCCGCCCTTGGCTGTGCCGGTGGATGAAGGAGCGGGCAGAGAGCTTGTAGTGATTCAACAGGCACGTAATCACCACCACCATTACCATCATAACCACCACAATGATGATTATCTGCACGAACTCCAATTCCGCTGTCAAGACAGAAACAAAGAGGGACTGAGACTTGGGGACACAAAAGATGGCTTGAAACACAGTGGAAAACATATTAGAGTGGAAATGAGAGGTCCTAGGTTTGAATCTTGACATTGCCACTCTACTCCCCCGTGTTTCAATCTGTAAAATGAAGACATTTGGCCTAAATGACTGAAAAGGTACCCCTTTAATTCTTAGGGGAGGGAAAGGAGACAGGTATTGGACTAGGTCTTGCCTTTCTTTATAATCTCTGACAACACAGGTACTCAATAAATGTTTTCCGACTTGTTCTTTGAGAATGAGAATGAGAAATGAGAATGAGAAAGAATGAGAAAACTATTCAGCCAACTAATACCATTACACCGGTGAAAACAACAATAATAACACAGAGTGAAGTTGAAAGAGGGCTGATTTTTGAGTCAGAGGACCTGGGTTCAGTACCCATATCTACCAAAAGCTACCTTGTGGGACTTTGGACAACCCTCTTTACCCTTCTAGAACTCAGTTTCCTCATCCACAAAGTAGGCTAAATGATCTCTAAAGTCCTTCCAACTCAGTCTATGTTCTTATGCTCTGGAATCCAGAAATGATATGATATGACACAAATATCCTCCTGTTTCCATAATGTTTCATTGGATACAAAATGCTTTACACTTTATCTTATTTAAGGAGGAGGGTATTTCAAGTATCATTATTTCTGTTACAAATAAGCAAAGTCAGATTGGTGAGATGCACGCATGGAACTGGGGTCAGCAAGGTAGGCCGTGATGTAGTGTACAACAAGCTATGGCTAGTTATCTGGAAAAGATCTAGGAGGTATTAGTGAACTGCAAACTCAATATGAGTTAATGGTATATCATTCTGTTTGGGATGGTTCAGGTGTCCGGAGATGGAGGCAGGGACTAATCTAGCTGACGTTCTAAAGTCATTTCCTCTTCAGGGATTTTATCTTCTCTTGAGTAACATCAGGATAGATGGGGCATTTTTAATTTCTGCAGTTAGGATGGTAAGAGATGGAGTCTGTTGGCCTCATAGGTACATGTGTATATGTATGTTCATAATTACATTTTTATGGTGTTATTTTTCTAAGACCCAGGACCCTTTAAAAAAGAAAATTGAAAGAGGGATGAGTCAGCACCATTTTAAATGGACCCAGCTGGGTGGGTGGGGTGAAGAGTTACTAGGGAACAGGCAGTGATTCAAATGGGAGAAGAGAAGACTATTTCCTGGCTGCTACCCAGGCAAACCTGCCTTAATCAGAAGAGTCAGAGAAAAGGAAAGAGGCTATGAGGGGATAAGCCTTATACCCTTGGCCTGAAATGATGGGGTCTGGAAGGGGAGAGGAAATGAGATGGTCTGGATATCATCTAACTAGAGAAATAATGGGGCCACTGACTCACAGGCATATGATGGGACCACTTTTCTCTGTGCAAACTCCCTTAATCAATTTAATTCAACAAATGGTTATTGAGATAAAACTGTCCTTCAAATCACACCCCAAGCCCTTTCTATGAGGCCTTTATCCCTGCCCACAGGGATCCCTCATTTCTCAAATTCTTATATCATCTCTCCAGTCAGAATGGAAGCTCCCTAGGGGCAGGAATCATAATGCAACTGTCAAGCTAATCTGGAGTATGATACCCATTACAGAGCATCACATGCTAGGAGGGAAACTGACAAGAATGAGTATATGCAGAGGAAGGCAAACAGGTTGGTGAGATGACCCCTAAACATATCATTAAATGCCATGAGAGGGTCAGATGAAGGAAATAAATTTGTTTAGTTCAGTGAAAAGAAGGCTCAGGGAGACATTATCATCACTATCAACCAACACTTATATAGCACACTTTAAGATTTGCAAAGTGCTGTATATATGTTAGATCATTTGATTCACAATAACTCTGAGAAGTAGGCACTTTTATTATTCCCATTTTATAGATGAGAGAAGTTAAATTATTTACCCAGGGCCCCATGGCTAGTAAGTGTCTGAGGTAGGATTTGAACTGGGGCCCACCTGACTCTAGGTCTAACCCTCTTAGCCACTAGACCACCTACCTATTCCCAGATCTTCTGATTCTCATAGTGGTCTTTTGATTACACTACACTATGTTTCTTCTGCTCATTCCGTGAGTAATCGATAAATATTTGTTGGGAAGTAAGGGCAGAGTCCTTCCTCTATCTGGAGCCTCAGACTTGTCTTTGAATTACAGTCACAGAGTCTTAGAATTGGAAGGGACCTCAAAGATCATTTGGCCTGGCCTGTACCTGTCCCTCTACAGAATACCCAAGAAGCAGTCATCTAGCCTTGACTTGACCCATCCTCCCAGACGAAAATCATACCACTTCTAAAGGCAGCCCACTTCACATTTGGACAGTTCTAATTGTTAGGAATTTGTTTTTCCTTACATTGAGCCAAAATCTGTCTCTCTGCAACTTCCCCACATTGTTCCTAGCTGTGTCCTTTGATGCCAAAGAAAACAAATCAAATCCCTCTTCCAGATGACAGCCATTCAAATGGACATCTTAACATCCCCATTTCCTTCAACCAGTCTTCCTATGGCAACATTTGAAGTTCCTTCACCACTATAGTTGCCTTTCTCCATAGGGCAGCTTTTTAGCTGGTCAAGGTCCTTTCTAAAATGTGATGAAGATGTAATACTACATACAGGGTCTATAGAAAGCACCACAGTGAGACTGTTACCTCCTTCATTCTGGACACTATGGCTCTGTTAATGTAGCCCATGTTTGGACTGCATTAGCATGTTTGGGTGCCATGCCATATTTTTAAAAATTCATATTGACCTTGACCTTGTACTCTACAGATACCTCAAGGTCACATGAAGTGCTGTTTAGCCACCCCTTCCCCAATTTGCCATTTATTCTTATTAAATTTAATTTTAAATGTGACCATAATTCTAGCCTGTAGAAGCTTATTAGATATCTGTTCTGCCATCCAATGAATTTGGCTACCCCATCCAAATCTGCCAATTTGATACACATACCTTTTATCTAAATCATTGATAAAAATGTTAAATGAAATAGAGCCATGCAGAGATCCCTGGGGCACTCCATTGGAGATCTCCTACCAAGGACAATTGCTGTTCAGTCATTTCAGTCATGTCAGACTCTTCATGATGCCATTGGGAGTTTTCTTGGCTAAGATGCTGGAATGGTTTACCATTTACTTCTCTAGTTCATTTTACAGATGAGGAAACTGAGGCAAACAGGGTTAAGTGACTTGCCCAGGGTCACACAGCTAATTAAGTGTCTGAAGTCACATTTGAATTCAGGTCCTTCTGACTCTAAGCCCAGCACTCTATCCACTCTGCCACCTACCTGCCCCCACCAAGGTCATTACTGATCCTTTAATCAGTACCCTTTGGAATTAGTTGCTCAGATAGTTTTGAAATCATCTATCTGTATTATTATATAGCCCACACAAGGGTGTGCTGGAGCCACCTCCAACTAGTTCATAAGGGCTGATTGTTAAATTTTCAAAATTTCAGGGTGAACATTTATATCTTAGAAAGGACAAATGCTACAAATCAAGTCTTAATTTATTGTTTTATTGATTATTTAGACTTCAGAAAGTGATGACAAAAATGTTAATAATGCAGATTAAACTTAAAAGTGGGTCATGCAGACTTCTGGGTCATATTAGCAACAATATGGAAGACTAGACCTTTTCTCTAATCCCTATGACCATGAAAACCTCTTCAAAACAGATAATATATACCAAGGATAAAGCAATCTCAGCTATCTCCATGGTCTAGTAACCCCAGAATCCAAAAGAAGGTTAAAGACCCCCCTACAAAATCTGAACTGGAAAAACCTGAACCAAAAATTGCAAAAAAGAATAGAATAATGTGTTCCAAAGAGCAATGGAGCACAGGATACAGCCCAGGGTGACCAACCCTGCAAATCTAAGCTTAATCATAAATGGAAAAAAAAAGAGGGATGTTCAATAATAAAGAAACCTTTGAAACATTTTTGGAAAAAAAAACAGAACTGAAGAGATTGTTTCCAGAAAAGTGGGTTGTACACAAATTTTTTTCTCCCAAAAAGCTGGTTGTTAAACATTTACTAGCATACCAGTAAACCCACACCTCTCTATCTTACCTGACTGAATACCTTGAGAGACTTAAGTCAAAGATTTTGTTGAAATTTAGTTATACTATGGCTCAAGCATACCCCTGACCTATCAATCCAGGAAACCTGTTAATAGAAGGAAATGAATAAAGGAAATGAGGTTAGGTGTCTCCAAACATATGAAGGGCTATGTCATGTGCAAGAGGGATTAGATTTGTTCTGCATAAATTCAGAGTTTAGAACACTGACCAGTGGGCATTAGTAAAAAAAAAAAAACTGCTGGGTCTGGAGTCAGAAGACCTGGGTTCAAACATAGCTCTATGACTTATTATGTCCATGGCCTTAGGCAAGTTATTTTGCCTCTTTGAGTCTTGATTTCCTCATCTGTAAAATTAGGGGGTTGGACTAGATGACTGAAAAGCATTTATTAAACAATATTCAAAGCAATGTGCTACATGCTGAGTGTACAAATGGAAAAGCAAGATAGTTGTTCCTATCTTCAAGGACCTTATTTTCTAGTAGAGGTAAGAAATACATGGTGGAAGGGTGTTTTGGTCTGGAAGTCATAGGGTGCCCTTTCCAAAAGCTATGGTAGTATTGACTCAATTACTGTTGTCAAAGCCAGAAGTGGAAGAAGAAGGAAGAGGTATACGTTTCAGCAGAACAGATGGCAAAAAGATGGCAGAAGTTGATTCTTGGGTGGCATGTAAAGTATGGCCTTGTCTGGGGCTGGGTAGATATAGTGAGCTCCATAAATTTGTGCTCACTCGCTGCCCTATAACACAGTAAGGACAAGGGTAGAGGAGAGGCAAAGGCCAGTCTTGAGGGCTAAGCTGTCTTGACTGGTGAGTAAGCATAAATTCACATAGCTTACTGTATCTAACCAGACTTGGACTAGGCCATGCTTTAT